TTGTACTAGCTGGCTAGCTGCAGTCAGTAATGGACACAGAGCTTCCTCTTGTACTAACTGGATAGCTGCAGTCAGTAATGGACACAGAGCTTCCTCTTGTACTAACTGGATAGCTGCGGTCAGTAATGGACACAGAGCTTCCTCTTGTACTAACTGGATAGCTGCGGTCAGTAATGGACACAGAGCTTCCTCTTGTACTAACTGGCTAGCTGCGGTCAGTAATGGACACAGAGCTTCCTCTTGTACTAACTGGATAGCTGCGGTCAGTAATGGACACAGAGCTTCCTCTTGTACTCAGCACATTAACATTCCCCCAACACAATCAGATCAGGGTAACAAAACAATTTTAACAAAACATTTAGTTTACCACCCATATAAATCCCTTATTTGTAAACCTTGAGGCAGAATCTCATGTAGCCCAGGCTGGCCTGGAATTTACTATGTAGCTGAGGGTGACCTTAAATTCCTTATTCTCCTGGCTCTAAAGCTTATGTGCTGGGGTTATAGATACATATTGCCAAGCAAAAAGAGTGTTTCAATATTATTCATTTGGTTTAATTACAAAATATTATCCAATTAAAATTGGAGATGGAGAGATGGTTCAGTGGTTAAGAAAATGTTCCACTTTTCCAGAGGATCTGAGTTTGGCTCTGAGCATCCACACTGGGTGACTCACGGCCATCTGTTATTCCAGCTCCAAGGGATCCACTCCCTCTTCTGGCCTCCATGGACATTGTGCTCATGTGTGCACGTTCACGCACACACACATGCACATACACACACACAAAAAAAAAAAAATTAAAAATTAAATCTTTAAAATTTAGTCCTTGTGTTTAAAAATGAATTGTAAACAAGATTTTAATAAGTAAGAATATCACAAAAGTCACAGATATAAAAAGTATTACCATCTAACAATAACGTCTTAAATCTCTTAGAGAAAAAAATAAAGTGGTTTGGATCATGCTGAAAAAATGGGATTGTTTCATTTTTGTCTTTCAGAGTAAACATCCCCCATCCATTAAACTCTAAAAAACATTTCCATGTTCTGTTTCTATTTCTTAAATTAGTATTTCTTATTTGATATTGAGTAAATAATATAATTAGAATTTTTACTGAGGTTACTCATTAAGACAAACTTGTATTAATTAAGTCAATTCCCCCTAGATATACCCAAGGCCAAACTAATGCAGATTTGAGACTCTCTTTCCATGGCATTCTAGGTTGTGTCAAGCTCATAATTAAAGTGACCCATCACATGTACACTTTTTGTGGTAACTAATGTGGGAGAGGGCAGCCCAAGACAGGCAGCACCATTCCCTAGACAGGGAGCCATGACTGTGTAAGAGTAGAGAAATTTAACTGAACATTCTCAAGTAAGGGGAGAGCCATGCTTGTGTGTATTCATTTCTCTCTGCTCTTGACTTAATGTGATGAGACTTCCCTTCTGTGATGTAGTAGCTTGTAACCTGGAATTGTGAGCCAGCACAAATCCCTTCATGTCTATTTAAAAAAATACGAACTTCTAGGTAAGTTAGAAGAATCAAAAATACCATATAATAATTAGGGTAGATATAGACATCACTTCTTTAATAACCCTGTCCAATTTTTCCATAAATTCAGCATTTTCACACTGGTCATAATGAAGTTCTGCAAATATATGTGTTTAGCATCACAGCTTTCCATAAGGACTAGCAAGGAAATTTGAAATTCTCCCTCTAAAAATCAGTGACCTTTTCTTAAGAAATGTATCTTTGTTGTTTCAACCAAGAAGCTGGTGTTGGCTTGTATTAGTGTCTGCCTCCCAAGTGCCAAGACTGCAGAGGTGAGCCATTCTGCCTAGCTCAAAATAGTCTTTGATTGTCCTCACAAGGTAGAAAGGATACAAATATAAACGCAACAAAAATGTGCTCGTAATATTGGATCCTGAACTGGCTAGCTCCTGAGTCTCACAAACGATGTTTTTATCCCATATTAATTCCTGAGAGGTCCAAATATCACATACAGTCAGAGTCTGTTACCAGGTGTTCAGCACGCAGGTCTTGTGAGGTATGCTCTCTCTCCCCGACTGATGCTATGCCATGCTTCTGTGTCCTAATACAAGCCCCTTTAAACTCACATCGTTAATAAGATCTGGCTATTTCTGTTGTTTGCAAATTGGATATTGATTCCTCTCTTTGTGTGATTCCATTACCAACATTTGCAACCATAGTATTTTGAGACAATCAAATAGGTTGAACATATTGAGCATTCCCCTTGCGTAGTAGATTTAGTCTTGGAAGAAAATAAACAATATTTGCTTCTCTATAACTTAACACACATGTAAGCCCTGGAAGATGATTAATAAATGTGGGATAAACAATGGATAAAGGCACTAAAAACTACAGTGAAAAGTAGCCACCGGGCAGGAGAGGGAGGCACTAGAGGGATGACTTGGTATTTTAGCAGTGACTGTTCTTGCAGAGGACCCAGTTGTCCCCACCCACATGGTGTCTCATAATCATCTGTAACGACATTGCCAGGGGACCTGATGCCCTCTGATCTCTGTGGGTACTAGACACATATAGCATGTATATACAAATATACAGACCAAATGCTTATACATTTAAAATAAAAAACTAAACAAAGTTTTAAGTAGCCTAGAATGACCAGACAATCATCTTTCTGTAAAACTGTACACAGTTGAAGACACTAGATGAGTGGATTGAAGAACCCGGTGGACTACTGAGTTCAGAGGGTCTGATGTCCTGTCAAGAACTGAAGGAGAGAGAGACAGAAACAGAGAGAGAGTGCATGGGTGCATGCATATGTACATGGGACACCTTGACGATTTGTTGAAGCTTGTCTGATTGGACAGAAAACTACAAGCCTTATGTAATAAAAAATGATTTAAAATAAATAGGTAGTCTTTAAGCCTTCAAAACTAATTACTGAGCAACATTTATGAATAGTTTGTAAGAAAATTATCTAGGATTCATAATTTTCACTTCCCCTGCAAAGTAAATAGCTCATCCAACTCTCTTAAAGCAGGGGAAGAAAAGTCAAAGCAAAGCATAGTCATACCCATGGCACCATCATGATGCTGCTTTCAGTGATGAAAATGTCAAGATTAATACACATAAGAGTATCCATGCAGAATTATATGTGACTGAATTTGTCCTAGGACCTAGAAGAAAGTTCAGGCCGAAAGAACAGGTGGCAACATTGAGAAAAACTTTAGATGGAAATTCTAGTCCCCTGAAGAAAAATCAATAAATCTGGCAAACTTTCATTTTCTGGTTTGCAGTGTTTTCACATTAGTCTAGCCTCTACCCCAGAGCTAATCAGATATCACAAAGATTAAGCTGGCTACACTTTCAGTTCAGCCTTCAGTGCTAGCCCAGAAATGGTGGCTACATTTGTGGTGGACAGAGCCGGAATGAAAGGAGAGTTATTCCTCTTCAGTCCCATCCAGCATCTGCACCCTTCTGCTTTGCTGTTCATGGAGCCTCAGTGCTCGTGAGTGCTCTTCAGCCCCACCAAGGTGAAGGTAGCAGCTGTCAGGTTTTCATGAACAAGAAACATGTGGCCACCATGGGCACTGGCTGGAGTACAGTATCTTCAAGACCTTTGAAGAGCCCATTATTCCAAAGCACTTGACTTTATGGAGAAGAACATGGAGATCATCCCTAAGACTCCCCAGGGTTCTGTTTTCTAGGTTTAACTGATGATGTCTGAAACTTAGAATAGACTGTACTGTGTGTACGGGGTAAACAACAGAAGCAGAGCAGCAGAGACTAAAAAACTCTGAGAGCCACCTGCTCCCTTCTATGCAGATCCTAGCCTCTGATGGATATGTGCAAATGGGTGGAAGTGAGAGTGAAGTGAAAATTCTAGAAAGGAGACCAGGAGAGGGGAATAATAGGTGATGAGGAAGAATGGGGTGGGGGTAAAGGAAACGTGGAACATAGACAAGGAAAGGAGTCTGCAAGAGGGAGACTCCAAGCGGAGACCAGGGGGAAAAAGGATGGCAGAAATGGGAGGGTGGGAACCACATAAACACTCTTAGTTTAAAAATGTCAAGTGCTAATAAGATGGCTCAGTGGTTAAGAACACTCACCGCTCTTGCAAAGGATCTAAGCTTGGTTCCTAATACCCACACAGAGTGGCTCACAAGTGCCCCATAACTCCAGCTCCAGGGGATCAGATGCCCTCTTCTGGCCTCTGTGGGTATCTGCATTCTGATACACACACACACACACACACACACACACACACACACACACACACACACTTAAAAATAAACCTTAAAATGTCAGAATGACATCTAATCCATTATATAGTGATTTCAAAAGAATATATAAGTAAAAACAAATCCAAGCAGCCCACAACAATCTTGAAGAACAGCAGGCTAGAGCAGAGTGATAATTCTACTTCCTAAAGAAACTCATCAGAGTGCACACACTTGGTGCCTGGTGCTTACCCTAGAGATCTTGCTTTGGTCTATGCTTAGACAAAGTCTATGCAGCATGACACAGGGGGACAAGGTCAGAGATGGTACCCTGGGATGTGTTTGTATCCCACAGGGAACAACATGGAGGAACAGGAAGCCTCAGGCAGCTTCCAACAGCAGTGTGAACTGTTTTCACAGCTAACTTCCGGGGTGTCAGAGGCTATTCAAGGAAGAATATAAGCAGAAAGAAACCTGTGTTTAAAGTTTTTTCATGTGTCGTTCTATTTTCTTTAATTTCTGAATAGGATGGGAAGAAACTAAATATGATTTTTAAAAAATACATCTCTTCCTTAAGTTTTCCTTGACATATTTGAAAATTGAGTGCATTTTAAAATTAGTGATTTGTCCCCTTAAGCCATTAAGATATTTATGTTACTCTAGACTAATTGGGAAATCTCAGAAATTACCAGTGAGATACAGTAACTCCTGAGTTTTTTATTTTTTATATTTTTAGTGAACGCATTTCACAAACTCATCCTAGAAGATTGCATTTGCTGACGGGGATGCTTACCTGCCGTGGCAGAGCCAGCATGACAGGGAACTTGGGGTTTGGTTGGTTTGGGAGGCGGCAGATCCACTGACAGTCACATCACTTCTGTAAGAGGTGGCAGTTCCTCGGGAGAGGGCCCCCAGCCCACATACCCCCATTTTCATCACAGAGCCACCTACAGGGGTGGGAGAGATGCTCCATCACACCGCAGCTCCTCCAGTTATCCAGGCCTTTGTTTGCAAGAACTGTGGGTTACAAAGCTTTGAGCCTCTGAGGAGGAGGTAGTCTCTGGGGGTGTCACAGGTCTGTTCCATGAAGAGACTGAAGGCATGGGAAAGGAGGAGGGCGGGGCTATCCGGGATAAAAAGCAACTAATGGGAAGGGTGGGAAGATGTCAGCTCCGTGCCCACCTACATGATTCCCTGGAAAGAAAACAGGCATCCAAAGAGGACCACCCACATGATGTCACAGGGAAAGACACGTTTCTATGCTAGAAACTCTAGTCAGCAAGAGCAGACTCAAATGCCTCAGTCCTGATACTCCGTGTGCTTTCTGTGGATGCTAACCATTACCACCAAGTCTGTTAACCTCAAGTCCATGTAAGGGTTTCTGGATCTCTAAAAACTATCAAACAAACTAATTTTTCCAGTTTCCTTGGACTTGAATGTCATTTGTCTTTAAGCACTGTAGTGACCCTAATAGCGATGGGAACAGTAGCACTTGGGAGGGATGGGATACGGCACTGGCCATGGGTGCTTCACAGTAATTATGGAGCTCAAAGTCCTGAAATTCCTTGTTAGCATGAAATACTTTGATAGATGGCTCTGATCTCTGCCTGTTTGACGTTCTGAAAATCCCACATTTAATCATCATTAGATGATTATAACTCTCATTATTTATTACTCTACCTACTTGCTTCCGTTCAGTCCTCACCTAGCCTCATTAAAAGAGACATTACCACTGTTCCCTATTGTTTATGGATGAGGCAGCTAAGGTTGAGGGTGAAGAAGTAATGACGAGGGTTGGGGTGAAGATCAGCTGGTAGAGTGCTTGCTTAGCAATAATGAAAGTCCCAGGGTACAGTGCCTTGTACTTCATAAAGCCAAGCATGGCGCGATCTCCTCACAGCACCCAGGATGTAGAGACAGGAGGATCAGACATTCAAGAACATCATCGGCTATAGAGGAAATTCAAGGTCAGCCTGGGAAATAAGACCCTGTCTAAAAAGAAAGGGAAGAAAGGAAGGGAGGAAAGAGAGAGGGGAGGGGAGGAAAAGGGGGGAGACAGGAGAGGAGAAGAGGAGAGGAGCAGAGGGAAAGAGAGAGGAAGGGAATTCAAGTGTAAAAAGCTACTATTCAGGTCCAGTTGGAACTCTATAGCAAATTACTGTAAACTAGATGGACGCTGAATATCAGAACTTCATTTCCCACTGAATCAGCCCCTAGTCATTCCCAACATTTGTTCCACTGCCAGCTGTTGATTTTCTGTGCTCCACAAGGATAAGGGGAGAGGGGCTCCCTTGCCCTGTTCTGTAAGAGCACTGAGTCCCATTCATCAGGGCTTGGCCCCCAGTACTTTCCTATTCTCTGGAAACCCCCTCCTTCTGACACTGTCACATTGGTGATCAGGCTTCAGTGCTGAAATTTAGGGGAGAACAAGCATTCAGAACACATCAGCTAGTGACTGGCAGGTGGGGGTTTACCCCAGGCTGTCTCCTTTACCCAAAACATTGCTAACTCCATGCCCTTGCACCTTGTTGCCAAGTGATCTTAACACATGCCTTCTGCGTGTAGCTGGGTGCATGCCCTTGTGTTGCACCGACTGTCAGATGCATGTGCTGTGTAGGTCCATCAAGTTCAGGTTCAGCAGGCTCGGCTATCTGGTGACAGGCATACAGCCCTTGTTTTCAGTGAATTCCAAATCGGAAGCCAAGGGCCAGGTGTGTTCACTTCATAACTGTATTCTTCAGCACTTTAATTATTTTGCATTGAGGGGAGTACTCCCTCCAGTATTATGGCCCGTGGCATAGTCTGCAAGAAGGAGGTGATTCGTTGAATTGATTATGATTATCTTTTTAACCTTCAATTCCTTCAAGAACTTCTGTGGCTTCTGTATCTATTCAGCACATGCTATCATCTAAACAGTGTGCTAGATGTTAGGATACACATTTAATAGAGTATTATTAACATTAGCCCTATCAGCTAGAGATATAGACATCCACACAGGGAAGTGGGTCGTGTGTGCATGGTAGACACATGGCAGGTGTTTGAGTGGTTGCCAGGTGACAGTAGTTCCATCACATGATGGGGCTAATGTTACAAATGGGACTTGTCTGTTGCCTTTGTTTTCTGTAGTGAAGGACAGACAGCATGGTTGTTAGGTTTTAGAGGACTGTATTTTCTGCTAAGGAGAAAAGTAAAAATATATTCTGAGAGTGGAGAGTAATTGAGGCAAGAGACCTGAAGGGTGCAGATGTGTTTAGAACACCTGATGAGCAAAGGAAGTTGAAAAGGAGCTGGGGACGAAGAAGCATGATGAGGTTTTATATGTGTATAATTGCAAATAGATATATAAACTCACAAGAATATATGCACAAAGGGAGTGGTGGAGTGAGAAATGGTGAGAAAAAGAGATGGGAGAGAGAAGCAGGCAGACATACTTAATTGGGAAAATACTAAGTTGTGAAATAGAAAGGTATGAATTTCACATGAAAACTTATATCATTCAAATAATAGGTCAAAAAATTTAAGAGAGAGAGAGAGAGGTTCTGGTTGGTAGTCCCGTGAAATTCTGTAGAAAGGAATAACCTTCCCCATGTTCCCTTCTGGGTAAGGTTGAAGTCTCACTGACTGGAGGAAGGCCCTCGCTTCCATCTAAACTGAATTCTTTACCTGCTATGTTGTGTGTAACTGCACGGCCTGATCTGGCCATTGAGTGGTTCTAAAGGGGTCGATGAAGGCTGCATCCCAGCAGCGCATCCTATGTGACAGAGACCTCTGCTGCGATGCATCTCCTTTGATCTCAGCTACTGTTGATCACTACTCCAGGAAGCTACCGGAGTATTTTGAAAGACTTACATAAATGCTTATTTGCAGCTATCACTGATTACTTTGAAATTACTCTGAAATAAACAGAATAAGCCCCAAAGGACTGGAAATTTGTGACAAACTGCAGCAATTTAAAAAAACAGTCTGATTGGAAAATGAAGGTGCGGGTTTGAGGACCAATAGAGCAATGGAAAGGGCTTCCAGATCAGCTCCCAAATTAATTATGAATTCATGCCTGAAACTCTGATGGAAGCTCTTCAGAAACGAAATGTAAACACAGGAAAATTTCAAAGCTGCGTATCTCCTCTGGAAATGACAGATAAGGGGCTTAAACACAAGTTTCTGTCAGCCTTCCCTCCCCAAATGGGCAATTTCAGTTCACAGGTCTGACTGTTTCGTACGTACTCGAGCAGAAACACAATCAGAACATCAAAAGAGGAGGTGAGAGATTTCAGAGTTAATTGTCAGAGAGTTGATTCCTTGGGATAAGAAGTCTCTTGACATTTTAGCTTTGAATTGGGTAGCTGCTGCTTGTGTGAGCATTTACTGTGTGAAAAGCACTCAGCTGGACTCCTTCTGAGTTTAGAAGCATACACCGAGGGCCTTTGACACCACAGGACTGGAGAATTCTTTCCCAGAGCTTCTGAACTAACCAGGGGCCATGACCTTAACCTTTTGGGTATGAGGATAGGGAATGAGCATCTTCATGCTGCTTCTAACCCTTTGAAAGCCTTAAGTCTAACCGCCACTAGGCAAATTCCTCCTGAGACTTTGAATATCACAGGTGTTTTCTACCCATCTCTGACGCTTAAGGAACATTCCAGTACTGGAAGCCAAATATGCCTGTTAGGTAGCGCAGCCACACAGTCCAACCTAACTGTATTTTACTAAGTAAGAATTATGCACTGTGTAGTCAAGCTGTTACTGGTAAATTACAAACATGCTTAATTACTTAATGGCGCATAATTTACAAATATGCAGCTGGTATAGGGCATGATTGAACGGATGAGTAGGGTATTTAGAATGTTCTTTAAAGTAGGATGCATTCTTTTTTAATCTTCTCATTTAAATGTGTGTTGAGGGCTAGTGGCTCAGATGGCAGAGCAGACAAAGGCGCTTTTCCACCAACATTGTCGGTGTGAGTTCAATCCCCAGGGCCTCCACATGTGCACACTCACATCCCAGGAGGCCACACCCAGCAGGGAGGATACCCATAGTGGGTAGGGAAGTTGAGGGCCACAGACATGGTATTTGGAAAATACCCAGAAAGTTGATGTCAATCACAAAACAAAAGTTTGCTATAAATCAAAAAGGGTTTGGTTGAAAATGAAATTCCGCTCAGTGGACACTGTGACTGCGTTAGTGAGGGCTTAAGTGTGCTGCCTGTTAAGGGCTATATCATCCAGACCAGCCATTTCCAAATGCTCTTTGCAAAGAAGAACTCCAGGTGAATTTTGTGCTGTGTTTCAGCGTGTAAGTGTGGAATGGAATTCTTTCAATGTAAAGAAAACTCAACATCTCATTATAGTGCATCCCTCTGAGAATAAATTGGATGAGCTCTGGATTACTGATTCCCAAGTGAAATGTGCCACTCACATCCAATCTAGTTTTCAGATATTTTTTAGGGCCATTGAATACATACATGTGCTATGTGACACACCTGACTGCATGTAGCCTTCATGTTGTTTTTGAGGTTGTTTTTAATGCATATCAAATACTTATAGAGCTCCTTATTTATTCCAGTATTGTGGTTGTATGGGTGATGGAAGTTCACTCGGTTGCCAATAACGCAAATGGCACTGACTGTTCTCAGTGTAGTGGTTCTTTATCCTGTTTAACAGAAAAGCTGTCCCAGCTACTCAAAACTAAACCTTTGACACTCCTTTTGAACCCCCGCAGAGTGACTCCTGCACAGTCCCACAGCCTCTGATTCTCTATTACAGGGGCCGCAGAGAAGAGCTCGAAGCACGGTGCTGAGGACAAGACTCTGACCATCATCACAGCCATGAAAGAAAGAATGAAGATCAGGGAGAGAAACAGGCCAGAGGTGTTTGAAGTCATTCAGGAAATGTTCCAGATCTCCAAGGAGGATTTTGTGCAGTACACAAAGGCCGCCAAGCAGAGCGTGCTGGATGGGACGTCTAAGTGGTCAGCAAAAATAACCATTACAGGTAGAGTGCATTTCTTAAGTGCTTTATTTCATATAGAGGTTTTTTTTTTAATGTGTTTCAGA